TGTTGTGCTCATATTTAGATGTCCTATTTAGCAAATGCTGCCTTTTTGAAATTTGGTGTGCTTGTTTGTCTTTGTGTCTATGGTGTAATAATAATGATGTGATTGTGATGCTGTAWTTCTGAGTGTTTTATGTGCTGCAGAACAGGAACCTGCTGTAAAACAGCAATTATGCTGAGTCAGGCTTAATTTTTAGTAATCTTTTCCTGTTAAATAAATAAATCAAATCAAATCAAATTTTGAAACACGGTGGTGGCAGTATGATGGTAAGGGCCTGTTTTTTGTCTTTGGGACAAGAAAGCAAATTTTATATTCTACTTTTGAACTATGAAAAGAAAATTTCACACCTGTTTTAAGAAAATAACTTGTTTAGAAAAAGCCCATATTGCTGATTTCAACTATAAAGCACGGTGGTGGAAGCATCATGGTACAGGACTGTTTTTGCATGCAAATGAAAAACATTAATTTTTTTTTCACCACTGAAGAACATTTCAGGATTACAGTTTTTAGAAAAAAAAAACAKGTTGTGTCGTAGGAGGGCAAAATAKTTTCTGATCGTTTTATATAAAACTTGACGGTGGCAGCATTATGGTATGGGCCTTTTTTGCTCACTCTATTGAAGAAAGAGATAGTTTTGAATTTTGCTTTATAGGTAAACACAAAGCACCTGCCATTATAAAAAAACACTTTCTGCTGACAGATTTACCTGTAAAACAAGAACGTCACTAATCAGCATGTTCACTGAATATAAAGGATAAATTATCCTGCTTTGTGCTGCAATAAAACTCTCAGCTCACGCTGGTTGTTTATGAGGAGGTGGTGTTGATTTCTAACATCAACTCGATGTTGTTAATTACACCATTATTTTATTCATCCTTACAGTGAAAATATGGTGAAACAGAAATGTGTTAGATCACAAACTAATGTGAATAAATAACTGTTGTGTTTGTAAACATTAGCTACCAGGCTAAACACAGAATTCATTATTAGAAATACTTTAATCCCATTTTTTTCATCACAATGGTTCTTTCCTTGGGTTCCCAGTATTGTTTGTTAATATCATGTTCAATTTAGAACATTTAAATTTTAATTAAACTTTAAAGATAATGTAGTTACGAGATACTGCAACCAGGTTAGCAGTTTTCCCGCTCTTTTTATTTTGTCTGTTAAACTAGAGCGGCAGTTTAACATTTAGCTCTTTCTGCAGCTTTTAAACTACATAAAATACAAATTAGACAAGTTTATTAAATCATTTAATGAGAATTTGTTTATTCAGAAATGGGAAACGAATAAAAAAACAATGTGCTGCAAATTTTGATTAGCAATTAGCTTAGCTTTAACAGGTTTTGTGCTTTCATTGCAAACCCTTTTCTATGAATTAAATGTTTTTTTTACTATTTTTAGTGGAATTTAAAACACATACTTCCATCATAAACGTAACAAAATGAGCACATACCATACTGCCACCATCGTGTTCTAAAGTTGAGCTAAGTTGCATTTTTTATAACTCTTTTAACTCATTAGTTTCTACTATCTAAAACATAATTTTTATTGCCTTGTATCTTTTGATTTGAGTTATTTTTATCTACTTTTAAGGCACAAACGGACTTAAACCAACTTGTTTTGCATCTAAATGTAGGGCAAATTTCCGATAATTAGCTATCTATTACCTATCTCTTATCTAAACTGCACTAATGGAAGTTTAATGAAACACTGGGGTTTCACAATATCCTGTATTAGTTTATTCTCTCCTCATTGTCTGAAACTATGGAAACCAGGTTGGAAAATTAACAAATTTCTTATATTTTCTGTATTTTTTCCAAAACTACCAAACAGTTCAGAAAAGTTTCTTTTTAAATTTTTGTCTGGGGATTAAAAGCTTTAAAATAAATCTTKTTCCACTTGAGTCCTGAACTCCCAACATGAAGACAGAAGATCTTGTTAAGATCATTTGTAGAAATTGGCTTTTTAATGATGCAGAAGTCAGAAGGTCCAGGGTTTGGACTCTTGTTAGGAGAAAAATAAAGCAGAACAAGGGGATGATTTTTATCAGGATGTTAATAAAGCAGAGGTCAACGATTCCCCACCTTCAGCCCAATTACCTGTCAGCCTTTTACAGCACAGATGAACATTAAATATTGATCAGTTCATCACTGCTCACGTCCATTTTTATCTTCAGGGGGAACTTCCTCTCACCTCATTAGACAAAACACTGAAGGCCCAATTGAAGGTGGACTACAAGCTGGCAATAAAATCTGATTAAACATAATAGAGGAGTTACATCATATTTATTTATCACCTGTCCAAGGGTAGGTTCAACTGGTTTACTGAAAATGTGAGGTTTTGTTTAACCCTTAAATACACTCCTGACCCCAAAAATATTGCCAACATTTCAGATTTTACACAAGAATCTTGTCATGCACGACTGCCACCATGTGGTCAGGAAACGTTAGCGCAACGCTCCAAAAGAAAAACACATTTTCATAAAAACTTCATAATAAAGTTTTATTTACAGTCTGCGGATTTTATTTCCATCATCGGAAACTTCACAAAAGAATCAACAGGAAAGAAAACAAAGATTTTATGGATTTCAATGGGACTGAAAACAAAATAAAAACAATTAGTGATATTTTTTTCAGTTATTCCTCCGAATCACTTTCTTTTACAAAACTGGATCAAACCATAATACTACCACCACTGTGTTTTATTGTTATCAAATCATTGACTTTAACAATTCAACCTCTAAACCGGAACAGTTCTCGTTAATTTTTAACAAACTTCAATAGAAATTTTGAACACAGGTTGTTCATTTGAAATGTTTAACTTGATGTTTTTAACATACGATAATAAAAAAACTACAATTTAGGATTTATTACAGGCACTGATAACAAAACTCTGATTAGGGAATAATCCATCACCACCTGTGCAAACCAACGTCTACGACACAAAAACCTCACAACATAAAAATAATTTGCAAATCTACAAATAAATAAATAACAGGATTTCTGACATATTTCCATCAGCTGATCGTTGCAGTTTTTACATTTCAGAACAGCAGAATAAAACTGAACTGAGAACAGATATGTTAAGATATGCTTCAGAATGAAAAAATTGTATCTGATCCTGACTCAGAACGTACAAGGTGCTCAATTTCATCAGCATTAATGATTCACATTATTCAGATCATAAACCTCCCGTCAATACAGTTTAACCCAACGCCGTTTTTAAAAATAACATCAAAACTTAAAGTGTGCAGAAATTATTCTGCAAAACCTGAACGTAATGCGTTTGCCACAGGCAAAAAAGAGACACCGGTCCAAAAGGCCAAAGGCAATGATTCTGACAAATAAAAAATAATATAACGCATAAATAAAACCATTTTTCTCCAGAAACTTAAATGTAAATTGCCTTAAATGTTGCCCATTATTGTTATAAAGGATAAAAACCAAAATCACAAGTGGAATAAAGTATAACAGTCATTTTTCAATGGCTTATTATCATTTAAAACAATAAATTAAGGCTGCAAGTATCTGTTATTTTGTATGTTGGAAATGAAAACGTGTGAGAAAAAATGCTTTCCCCCCTTCAACAGTTATAACCCGTTTTAATCTGGTTATTTTTTATGTTTAAGCTGACTTTTAAATAAAAAAAAGGGTCGACTGTTTAACCAAAAACAAATAAATCGATATAAACAATTAGCATTACATGCTAAYTCTGAGGTAAAAATAAAATTTTACTTTTCATAATTTGAGAAACCTTGAATTCATACGTCTAATTGTGTCAAAAACAAATGAACAAAACACAAGTTTCTAAACTGTTTAGCAGCTTAGCTTTGAAGTCTTGAAACTTAAAGCTGGTTTACAAAAAATGTAGGAACGCAGTACAYCTGTGATATTTAGTGCTACAAAATGGGTTAGCTGTTGATTTAATGCACAAAACAATGGCAAAGAAAATGTTTAAGAAGTATATTAACAAAGAACAAGTTATCTCATGAGAGGCATTTTACTATTAGCTCATCTAACACGTTTGGCAGTAATAGCTTGAAGTTTTCAGTCGTCGTTTGGTCCTTGATAACTGAGTGCACAGACATACACACATTTATACCTGAAATGAGCTGTACAATAAAGCAGGGAAGACAACAAACCACACATTATATCAACACACAGGAGAACTGCTGAGGTTAAAGCAAACCGAGCAGACTTTGCTTCATGTAGACAACCTTAAACTTGTCATCCAAACACTTTTTTTGTCCGTTTGCAGCAGAACAGGCAAAAAAAAAAAAAAAAAGAATCCTATTAGGAAAAATTTTATTCTGGCTGAGGAGAAACGCCTGGATCTTATTTCTGTCTCAGTTGTCTTTTTTCTCTAGAGCTCCAAAAGAGACTCGAAAGAATCCAGAAAGTTTGTTGTGATGCGYCTTGACCTAAAATATCAGGAACCGAATTCCCCTGGAAACACTGCCCATATCAAGTTTAGTGTTACTGACACACGTCCTTGTGGAACGCCTAAAACAAACACTGATGCCATCAAGGCTGACTTTGGGTTCTGAAATGAATTCTTCATTATTGATGTCTAAAAAAGTCATTTGGACTGACTTCCAGTGGACAAAACTTGGTTCAAAAGATGGATTGGAGGTTGTCGTTTAGTTAATTCCATCATCTAGGGGTCTCTTTGCTTCCCAAACTTTGACTGTGCGGTCACTATGAAAAACAAAGAAAATGTTAATTAGTAACAGAAAAGGGTAAAAAAAACATTGTGATCTTGTTGCATCTTACTCAGAAGCGGTGAATAGTTGGTTGCCGTTTGTTGCCAAACCGTTGATGGGACTATCGTGCCCCTGGACCTCTCCGAGAGGAGCGAGGGAGTCGGTGTGCCAGAGGCGAAGCAACCCTCCTCTGCACCCAGTGAGGAGCACCGGGGAGCCGGGCACCACTCCCAGAGCACTAACCCAGTCTGTCTGGGCACTGACCAGCTGTTGGGCCACAAAACAAGCCAACAGTTTTAGATTTGAGCCTGCTGCTCGGACAAACACTCAACCGTGTCGTCGGCGTACCTGTGATAGCTTTTTACTGGCCATGTCCCACTTTTTAATATAAAAATCCCTGGAGCTGCTGTAGAACACGTTCCCGTGCACGGCCAGACATTCCACGCTGTCCTGGTGGGCGGGGTCAAACGTGTGGCTGGAGCTGATGCTACCCTGAGCGCCTTCGGCCACTTCGAACATCTGAAAACGTTATATGTCACAGTACTATCAGTCCAATGTGTTGCTTTCACAGGTGTGCAGCTGTTATTTGTGTGTAAAACTAACTTTAATGTGATGGTCTTTGGAGCCAGTGAGCACAACGTCCTGACCGTGGCCTGACTTGTCGACAGTTAGGCACATCACAGGTCCCAAATGGCCGGTCAGCTTTCCTGTCGACACAAACCTATAGAAAATAAATAAGAAAAACGTAAATAAACCTGTCGAAACAACGGTTTGCGCAGATTCAATCCTAATCCCTGTAAGGGTGGCGTACTTGCGGAGGTCCCACATGCGCACTGCATTGCCCGCAGCGGCGTACAGGGAGGAGCCGGAGGGATCGAGGGCGATCTGGTTGATCGGACTCTCTCCGGGTGGGATGGAGAAACTCCTGGCAGAGGAGCACGAGTCTCCTGAGCTCACCTGGCCTGATGACCTGACACACACACACACACACACACACACACACACACAAAAACAATCTCTTACGATGGAGTAAATTTAGCTTAGCATTTCTGAACGCACATACTTACGTGAGCGTGCGGATACACTTGGCGGAGTCTCGTATGTCCCAGACTTTGATGTAAACAGTGGAAACAGTGAAGACCAGGCTGGATGTGTACCTAAACGTTAGGGGCATAAATCACCAGATTTATCACGATACGATATTATATTGATTTGTTTGCATGACGATACGATATTTATCGATATCACAAAGTCTGTCAGGATACGATTTAGATTTAACTCAATTCACAAGTTTGCGATTAATATGATGTAATATCATATGTAGATCTATGTATTGATACACCTACTAAAAATACAACAATTTAACAATTTAAATGTACACCAACTCAAGTGTTGTTGAATGACGTTAACTGTAACACACCTGATGGAGACAACACTACTGGGATGATCTGCTAGAGACATAATCTCTTGTCCCGTCACCAAGTTCCAKACCTTACATGTACGATCTGAAACAGAAATTTATATTTGATCCAATAAATCAAACATTCTTTTAGGGTAGGTGGTTGCAGGAACAGTTTTCACCTTTAGATCCGGTGAAGAGCAGGTCATCTGTGGCGTCTACGCACAGAACCGGTTTTGTGTGTCCTTCAGCTACATGGATGCACTGAACTCTGGCCCCCCGGCTGTTGGAAGGAGCCACAGGATTGATCACGCCTCTACGGGACATTAAAAACAGAATTACAGTCACACAAAGATCCTAACATTTAGTTAAAAGGGATTAAAGGTAAAGTAGTTTACCTGTGCCCTTCAGATACAGGTGATTCCTCCAACCTGAGAAATGAAACAAAAGATATAAGGTTCTTAGGGCACATCTTTCGATCCATAAAAAAAAAGACAGAATCACAAAACCATACGACATGATATGATACTGTACGATACGATATGATACGATACAATATGATACTGTATGATACGACATAATACGATACAATGATACGATATAATACGATACAATATGATACTGTACGATACAATATGATACTGTACGATATGATACAATACAATACGATACTGTACGATACGATACGATACAATATGATACTGTACGATACGATACAATACGATACAATATGATACTGTACGATACGATACAATACGATACTGTACGATACGATACAATACGATACAATATGATACTGTATGATACAATATAATACGATACAATATGATACTGTATGATACGATATAATACGATACAATATGATACTGTACGATACGATATAATACGATACAATATGATACTGTACGATACGATACAATACGATACAATATGATGATACTGTATGATACAATACGACACAATATGATACTGTACGATACGATACAATACTGTACGATACGATACAATACGATACAATATGATACTGTACGATACGATACAATATGATACTGTACGATACGATATAATACGATACAATATGATACCGTACGATACAATATGATACTGTACATATGATACGATACTGTACGATACAATATGATACTGTACGATACGATATGAAACTGTACGATAAGATATAATATGATACAATACTGTACGATGCTATATGATATAATACGATACGATATGATACTGTACGATACGATATGATACTGTACGATATAATACGATACGGTATGATACTGTACGATACGATATGATACTGCACGATACAATATGATATGATACTGTACGATACGATATGATACTGTACGATATAATACGATATGATATGATACTGTACGATACGATATGATACTGTACGATATAATACGATACGATATGATACTGTACGATACGATATGATACTGCACGATACGATATGATACTGCACGATACAATATGATATAATACGATACGATACGATATGATATGATACTGTACGATACGATATAATATGATATAATACAATATAATATAATACGATATTATACGATGCAATACTGTATGAAACGATATGATATAATATGATACGATTTGATAATGTATGATACAATATGATACAATACGGTGAGATATGATACTGTACAATACGATATATAATATGATACTGTACGATATGATATACTGTATGATACAATATGATATAATACAATACGTTATGATAATGTACAATATGRTATGATATAATACAATACGATATGATATAATACAATACGATAATACGAGATGATATGATACTGTACGGTACAATAATGACATATGATACGATACTGTATGATATGATACGATATGATATATCACGATACAATATGATAAGATATAAAACGATATAATGATATATGATACGATATAATACGATACGATATGATACTGTATGATAGAATATGATACAATACTATACGATACAATATGACATAATAAAATATGATGATACTGTATGATGCGATATAATATGATACGATATGATATAATATGATACGGCATGATACTGTATAATATGATATGATATAATACAATACGATTTGATACTGTATGATATATAATACTCACTACAATGATACTGCACGATATGATATATGATACCATATGATGCAATATGATACTGTTTGATAAAATATAATACTGTACGATATATGATACTCAACGATATGATAGCATACTACATGATACTATACTTTGATATACGATACTCGATACAATACTCTACGATATAACATACACTATAAAACAATAACATATAATACAGTGTGATAATGTATGTGATAAAGAAACATGATATGGTACAAAAAGATACAATCCAGTGTCTTGCAGTACAAGAGAATGCAATTTGATGTGGTTTACAATATGACCCAATATAAAATTAAATAACACAATGACATAATATGATAATATGATTGTACGACACTTTATAATTTTAGTCCAGTATGATTTGGTAAAATAAAATATAATATATTAAGATACATTACTATTTGATACTGTACAGAAGGATATGATAAATTCACCTTTGCAAAGATCCTTTAATATGTCAACAACTGAGCAAACGTCTTAGTTGCAAAGTTTTCTAAGTTTTCACTTACGGTGATTTGTAGTCACTGCCTCTTGTTTTAATTTCTGTTGTTCCCACTGAAGGAGTCTGTGCTGGGACATGTGACAGGATGGGTCCTTTCTCCTGCACCTTCCTGCGGCTGAGTGGTGAGCGATCCATTTGTTTCCTCTCCATCCCTGTAGGAGACCTGGATCCAGACCTACAACAGGGATCAGTCCCTTCTTTAAGTTACGAACAACCAAAGCTGTGAAAGATGTTTTTAGAGCGATTAACCATTTTCTTTGCGATATTCTTGAGAAAATTGTCTTTGACACTTACACACCAGCTGGTCTGGCAGACAGCGCAGATGGGGACGGGGTTTGCTCTCGGTCAGAGCTTTGACCGGCTGGGTGACCCTGAACGTCTGCCGGGCCTTCCAGGCGCTCCATGAGGGGCAGCAGAGGGGCCGAGAAGTCTCCGGTGGGAGATTCGCTRTTAGCATAAAGCAGTTCCATCTGGGTGGTGGTCCGCCTTCGAGCCTGAGAGACCAGAATAGATCAGAAAATCAACTCAACCGTCCAGAAAACACGAAAATAAATGTGACGCGTGGTTCTCTACCTTGCTTTTAGGTTTGGATTCACCGCATAACTTCAATAAATCTGATGACAGAGAGCTGAAACACAGAATGAGCTTCAGTGACACTACATTTCTATTTTTTTTTAAATTAGCTTTTCATTATAAAATTTCTTTAGACCCTTTTAAAAAAATCCCTGGCATTGCTTTTCTTACCAATTGGTCCATTTTTTTATAATTATACTGTATTTTTTATTTAAGTAACTGAAGTCTACAGTTGCACAAACAGTTTGAGCAAATAAATGTTCCTGTGAAATAAAACTAAATCAATAAAATTATAATACATTTTTGGCAAGACTTTATAT